TTTTTCACGTTTTATGAGACAGTCGAGTATCGAATGACCCAAAAATAGGATTTTTAATAAAATTTCGAAAGTTAGAAAATAATTTAAGGTAAATTAAAATAAAATTAATTTAAACTTAAATCGGGACGAAATGGACTCGGGAAAAAAAGAGTCGTGTGGCGCGTTGTGAGCCAAGTATTGTAAGAGTATAAATAGGGGAAAATTTAAAATTTTCCCCATTTCTTCAGCTGGCCATTAACGTTGAGAGAAAGAGAGGGAAAGTGAGAAAAAACTCTACCTTCTCTCTACGATCTACAAGACTACAGTGCTCAAATCTACTCGGGATAAGAACAAAAATCGGTCTCCTCGTCGAGGGCTACACGACCACACCAAAAATGAGGGATTTCACTGAAGCTTCAAAATCAAGCTCGCTGGAATCAAGGGCTTGGGGCAGAAATTGAGTCTTGAGGGCTTCTACCAAGTGGGTTTACACTTCAAGAGGTAGGGTTTCTTCCTACTTGGGTTTATTTTATAACCTAGAGTGTTATATGTAATGGGTAGATGGATAGCCATCTATATCCCTTGTCTATAGTTGTGAAATTGATGGAATTGGGTATGTAAATTTGACATAAATTAAGTAAAATTCCAAGATTGGAATTGGTAGGTTGCAATTATTGTGTAATTCCATGGAAAAGGGTGTTATGTGGGCATGCACTATGTTTTATATCATGCTTTGTGAATGAGGTGAAAATTCTTGTGTGGTAACATGAATTGTTGCCTTGAAGGTGTTTGCCAAAATGCCTATGTGTGGATTAAGTCGTTATGACATGATAATGTATAACATGCTTAAAAAATGTGTTGGAAAGAATTGTTAATATGTGCTTATTGAGATATTGACATTGTGATGATTTATGGAATTTATATGCTTATGATATGAATTTCTATGGAACATGTATACATGTGGTTTAAAATTGCTCATATGACATTCATTACATGTGGGCATGATGTTGGAATAGCAATGATACATTACATTGCATATGCACGTAGACATCACATTTTATGGGTGTGGGTGCATGGTTGGCATCAAACACCACATAGGTGGATGATGGTTGGGCTCGGGAAAGTTGGATTGAATATCCGACTGAGTCGTACGGTTGCATGAAAAAGACTTGGGTCGGGGGTAGCAAGGAAGGCTAGACTATCCCTTGGGTGAGAGACCCGATTTTTGGATACGCATTTCCGTTGGTATAAGAGCCCATAAAGTGTGTCGATGTACACTGAACCGTTGGTGGAAGTCCATGAATTTCGTGTCGGTTGGGTGACCGTTGGTGTAAGTCGATAAATACCCACCAAAAAAAAGACCCAGAGATTTTAGTTAGCCATTTGGTGTGTAACACAAATGGCGGGGGCTTGGAAAGCCCGATTTTGATACTCACTACATAGCATGGGGTGAAGGTAGATAACCGGAGCTAGAAAAACTCGTGTTAATACACATTAGCATGACATGTGTTGTGGAGCCGGAAAGGGCTCGGGTAAATTGCATGAATAAGCATCATCTCATTTCCTGGCATGGTACGTTAGATTTCAACTTTGACTTGCTTAAGTGTTGGTTAGAATGATTATTGTTGTTAAATGTTGCATGTGAACATTACATATGCATTTAGGTTGGGGAGTAACCCTTGTAGGAAGTGCTCTACTGGACGTTGACTCACCCTATACGGAAACACATTTTAGGTGCGGGGTTCGTACTGGTGGAGGACTCACATTTGGGGCCTCAAAGATGAAAAAAAAGCCAGTTTGTGCTTTTAGAAACAAATTTTGTAAAAACTTTGGTTAAAAGCCGTTTTGACATGTAAATTATGTAAATGCATGTAATAGAACTTGTATGAATCATGTATATTGTAGAAAATATCCTTACACATGTTTGGGATGAATTTGGAAGGGTTTTGATTGAATTAGAAATCGAAAAACTGATGAAATATGAAATTTTGGGCAAAACCTACCGATAACAGGCAATAACTACCGATAGTTAACAGGTAGTACCTGTTCGGCAGGCAATAACTACCAATAGCTAACAGGTAGTACCTATACAGCAGACAATAACTACCGATAGTTAACAGGTAGTACCTGTCCAGTAGGAGGAAACTACCGGTAGCTTACAAGTAGAACTTCTATTGGTAGTTATAACAAACAACTACCCGTAGCTCTTCCAAAAATCTAAAAAATCAAAAATTATTTTGCTAACCTTTTGAACTTTATTTTCTTTAGTTCCAATGATACAAATAGACATTAAATGAGGTATATTGAGGCTCATTGGACCTCCATCGAATTAAATGATTAAAGGAACATGGGTTATGCGTGTAAGTTATGATCCTAGTTACAGGGATGTGATAGACGTGATGTCGAGCCACGCGACATTCATGGGTTGACGGATGGTCAATGGGACCCCGATTTTAGGGGCGTCATAGCTAGGACGATAGGACGAGAGCTCGGCGTCATGCCAAGCACTTATGCCTGCCCCCGATTATCCACATCCCTCAAATTGGTGTTTGACACCTGCAACTGAGCATTGAATACTCGAGGGAACAGTTCCTCGAAGAGAGCCGAACGTATATATTAAGCATAGTAGCCATTAATGTCTAGTCATCATGATAGTAGGCTTAGGCTTGAAGATGCAAGGGCCCATTAATGTCTGGTCACCATCACTCATATTGCCATAAATAAGTAGTCAAGTCGTATTAAATTCGGTGTCAGTTGTCATACTCGGCTCCTCCTAGCCGTTATCTTTCGGCTTACCTCCTCAGCGTCTATGGGCCTTTGCAACGGATCCATCTTCACATGTGTCAGTCTGGGAGCCGTAGGACCTCCTAAAGTCTCTCTAATTATATAAATAGAAAGTGACAACCGATTCTCAATGCTATCTTTGGGACCCCTCCCATAACTGTGATAGAGAATACACCACTTTTTTGGGTCTTACTGATATTGGGAATTCACAATAAATTTATGTGGCATTTCTGTCCCTAGCAGAACCTAGCATCATAATGTGGTAGTGGCTCTGGCCCATAGTAGTACCCCGGTTTGATTGTAGAGTTCATGGGATTGAGATGAGCCTCCATATCTGTTCCTCACAAGCATATTGGGTGCAACCAGAACAACGAATCTACTGATGAGAACTTTTGGCCGCGTTACTTCTTGCTACATAGGATGCCAAGTACAAAATCCTTCTCATTGCTTGGGAATTTCCCCCTCTGAGCTGGTGTTGGTACAATAGTGGTGGAAGTTCCTTGAAGGAGGAGGATAAGACTGGGCCTAGGGTAATTGCAAAATTGCTGAATCCAAATGGGAGAAGCCTGACATTAAAATATCTCAGAGATTTTGTTTTTCAGGTAGTTGTGATGTGTTCATCTGCAGACATCTTTGAATTTGTATTTGCGTCGTTGAATTATTCTATCTTCAACCTAATTTCCTATGATTTATGGATTCTGAAAGAGATTGTAAGTTACCAATTACAGGCACCAATATTTGAAAAAGGGCTCCATGAGTGATACACATCTGTATACAAGGTGGCACCTCTAACATAGACCAACAAAATCTGTTCTTTCACTCTCTTCAACGCTATAAGGACGATATTTACTCCCTAATCCTTAGCTCCAAAGAACATATACATGGAGCTATGTTGATTTATGTACGACTTGTTAACTAAACAATCAGGTACTCTTTCTCTGGGAAAGAAAAAGTTACTAAAATGAAATGAAAAATTCACTCCCTTTTCCATCATCTTATGGGGGATGCCTTCAAAGACAACAGACCGTCTAATTCTGAAACACTTAGGTTGGCTGTCTGTGGTGGACCAAAAATCTTCCAGAAGCGTAGAGTCTTGTTTGCTCCAGCTGACTCCGCAGTTAATCCATTGGGCTTTACGAATTAATATTACTAATAAAAGAACTTTAATATTAAAAATTTTTGATTCTCTAATTTACTCTTATAAAAAGTTATAAAGACCATTCTATTCTTTCACAATTAGATATTTAAATTATCTATTATCTCCTTATGTATTTAAATCTCTCAATTACCCCCAACTTCTATTTTAATTATCTATTCTCTCTATATAAATATTAATTTCTATGAAACTTTTTGATTGACTATATTATCTTTAAAAAATATGCATCATTATATTTTCAATAAAGTTTTCAAAAAACTTTCAAAAACTTTATCAATCTAATATTACTCATCTCATATGCAAAGATAACATTACCCGCATATATGTTTATTTTTTTTATTTAAAAATTTTAACTTTTTTATTTCTAAAATAAAAAATAATTATATATATAATTTTTTAAAATTAATTTATGTTACATCAATATAATTTTTTAGTTTACAATAAACTTTTTAAGTTGTATTAAGATTTTATGTGAAAATAGTTTATAGTTTATTCTTAAGTAACACTTGAATTTTTAAAATTTTTGATATGTTTTAAAATATATATTATAGAATATTATATTAAATCTTATTCTAATTGATTAACTAATTCTTAATTATAGTGAAGTTTTAATATAATTAAGTAATATATTGATAATTATTTTTATTTTATTCAAAAAATTATAAGTGAAATCCAAATCGAATGAATTTCAAAAAATTTAATTTCTCAAACATTACTAAAAAATCACTCTCAATCACAAAATTTAAAAAAAAAGTAGAAATTTAATTATTTTTTTTATCTTTTTTCTAATATACTAAATTTTCATTATTCTATAATAGAATAAGTGTAATGAAAAATTAAGTCTCATAAATTTAAAATAATATTTAATTCAAATATGTATATATTAATATATTATATTAATTTTTATACAAAAATTATTTATGTGCAACGCACGTGATACATTATTAATAAATTATAAATGTCGGTTACCGCAAAAGTGCTGGCATTCATTATTATTGATAATTTTGTTGATAAAAAAATTATTATTGATAATTTTGGTCAAAGTTACGAAATTATTGATGAGCATGACAAGTAAAGGCCAATTCTCACCTCTCGCTTGACCAACCAATTCTCTCTCTCAATTCCAGAAAATAGATTTCCACCCTGTTCAGATTCCATCGCTGGATTCGAGAGAGAGAACGAAGACAGAAAAATGGAATCCTCAAACGACGTCGCATGCAGCAACCTCCCTCGCCTTCTCTCCTCATTCGTGGACACATTCGTCGACTACTCCGTCAGCGGCCTTTTCTTACCACCACCCCCAAACCCTAACCCTACTAGAAACCCTAATCCCAATGATCACTCGCACTCATCTGCATTACAGACCACGTACCCTACCCCAGACCGCCTAGTCGCCGTCGGTGACCTCCACGGTGACCTCCAGAAATCCAAACAAGCTTTCAGACTTGCTGGCCTCATCGATACCTCCGATCGCTGGTCCGGCGGGTCTGCTACCGTGGTCCAGGTCGGTGATGTGCTCGACCGAGGCGGCGACGAGCTCAATATCCTCTACTTCCTCGAAAAATTGAAGCGAGAGGCGGCAAAAGTTGGTGGGACTATTATTACTATGAATGGGAACCATGAGATCATGAACCTGGATGGAGATTTCAGGTATGTGACTAAGTCGGCTCTCGATGAATTTAGAAATTGGGCTAATTGGTATGGTATTGGGAATGTGTTGAAGAGTTTGTGCGATGGGTTGGAGAAACCAAAGGACCCGTTTGATGGGTTGCCTTTGGATTTTCCTGGTGTTAAGCCTGAATTCTTTAATGGGATTAGAACAAGGATTGCTGCATTGCGGCCTGATGGTCCTATTGCGAGACGTTTTTTATCGAAAAATTTGACTGTTGTTGTGGTTGGAGAATCTGTATTTGTTCACGGAGGGCTTTTACCCAAACATGTGGTTTATGGGTTGCAGAGGATTAATGAGGAAGTGAGGGATTGGATCAGTGGGTTTAGGGAGAGGGTTTCAAATGAATTAGTCAGGGGGAGGAATTCGGTGGTTTGGTTGAGGAAATACTCGGATGAATTGGCGAAGAATTGTGATTGTTCCACTCTTGAACATGTTCTTGCCACAATTCCTGGGGTGAAGAGGATGATAATGGGGCATACGATTCAGGAGAGTGGAATTAATGGTGCTTGTGATAACAGAGCGATAAGGATTGATGTGGGTATGTCGAAAGGGTGTATTAATGGACTACCTGAAGTTTTAGAGATTAATGGGAACTCGGAGCTGCGAGTCTTGACATCAAACACTTTATATAGCAAGTCATATGAATCTCCTTTGCAAGGTAATCAGAAAGACGGGCTCGGTTTGTTGATCCCTCAACATTTGCCAAACCAATTAGAGGCGAAGGCTTAACTGTCAGCCAATGTAGACTCAAATAGATCTGTTTTGTGGAATCTCTCAGGGATAATTGTTTGTATTTGTATGACTAAAGTGTTCTGTCATCATTGTGGAAATGGTTGCAGATCCTTAATCATCATGTACAGTGATTTTAAAATTGTGTTCAGAAAAGATTGCTCTGCCACATTGAACATTTGTAACTCCCTGGTTGTCCATGATGAGACCATTTGTTGATATATTATTTCTTAGCTTTTGCTATATTAAATATCTTAATGCCTTTGCATTGAGAAGGACCTACTGATGTTACCTTATTCCAGCAAATTGGATTCAGAAAATCTTATGTTGTAATGAATTTATAATGGGTGTCGGTCAACCTGATATGGTTATTATGAATGAATTTTGTCGGTGTCTACACCAAAAAATAGCAAAATTCGAGGGTGACACATAAAAGATATCAAACGGTCATAAAAGAGTCTATACTTGATAGGGCGGTCGAGGAAATGAGATTTTGAGAATCCCAAGAAGTGGAGAGACATGATATTATGAGCCGTCAGTTAGAGTCGGTTTAGCACACATTTGTGCGTCTTGAGGAAAAAGCCTTGATTATTGTTATGGGTGAAAAAGATGGTTTCGACGGTTGAATGCTATCTCTATAAATGACCAAGACAAGATTATAGAGAATGATTCACGATCAAACACAACAAACTCTAGAGAGTTAGCTTCTCTTTTGTTTACTTGTTTCTTGCTTCTGAGCGACTGTATTCTCTCTCTCACCTGTAATTCATCTCTTACTACTTTCATTTGATGTTAAGGATAGTATTCATTTCTTCTTCCAAAACTAGTTTATCTATTACTTTGCATTCCAGTTTTTCTTTTTACGTTTCAATTCATTACGTTGTTAATTAGGAAATTATTTAATGTCTTTGAATCCTAAGACATAAAAAAGAACTAAGAGGTAAACTTACGCGTTATTACAATCATCTGAACAATCACGATTTTAGAATCTCAAACCCGGTTCGAGTACATAAATTTATACGTGTTTGAATCTTAAGTTCAATAAGACTTTGGCACGCCCGTAATCTGAAAATATGCCAAACATAATTTTTTGCACGTCCGGTGGGACACCATGTAGTCATATAGCGAACACTCGTGGAAAAGCCAAGATTGGCTCATCATAAGTGTCTCCAATGCATGAGGTTGTTGAAGAAAGTAGGCATAGCATCCCTAATTGCTGGAAGAGTTGCCTTCGCTCGGGGGGCAAGAGAATTGAGTTCAACTCAGAGGCAGGCGCCTCGATTAAGGCTTTGTCACATGGAGTCTCCCAACAAATCTCCAGGTTTATCAATGGCTTGGGAAATTTGGTCAAAGAAGAATCTGGCCGCAGAATACATGAATTAGAGCGGTTGATTGACAGTTTGAACCATCCAGGGGATACAAGACAATCATTGTTTTCCCTTGCACAAGTAGTGCCAGTGGAAGCACTACAACTAGCGCTTCCATCATATGTACCGTTCCAGAGGACGTAGTAGGCCAGAAATGGCCATTGGAGAAATAATAAATCTCTTTTTCAAGGGGATGTGGTCTCTAGTCTTGAGTTTGAGGGACAAAGAAGACAACTGTAAATTGTTCTTCCTGCGGCTCCCCAAGTGGTCGTGAATCGAGATCGGCTAGACGAAATAATCCAAGAGCACGTCGGACCCTCCTTGATATGAGTGATTAGGCTAACATATGAAAAATCATATCCCGATTGAGTGGACAAGGAGTACGAATATCCTCGGGGTTATAAGGTCCCAATAAGGTCCTGGTGTTTGCAACTTTTTCAGGCTAGGACAATCAATCGACTATGGAACACATTAGTTGTTTCACTGTACAATGTGGTGAGGTAGGGGCTAACGAATTTCTGAAGGTAAGTTTGCCAATTCATTGACAAGAACAGCCTATAGATGGTACATTGATTTGCCATCCAATTCTGTGTTAGGCTGGCAGTAAGTAGAGGACAAGTTCCACACTCAATTCTACTGTATTGAGCCAGAGGTATCAATGGCTGATTTGGCCAAGTTGTATCAGATGACAGAAGAAACAGCAGAGCAATACATCGCGTGTTTCAAGAAAGTCAAGAATCGATGTAGGTTTGGCACTGCCTGAGATGGAGTATGTGTGTGCATTGTGCATAACGGTTTGGATTTCAAACTCTGGAAGAAATTTGAGGAGATGGAGTTTAATGATCTGTTCAAGTTGGCAATGTGGGTTGCGCGATACGAGCAGATTTTGCAAGAGGAGTTGGACCGAAGAAACGCCTAAGGTACGTACTATAGGGATCCCAATACGAAAATCCTCATGGTCAAGCTAGACTAGGAGTTGGAAGTATATATGACAGAGAATCGTGGCTAGGCAGTCGCATGTGTGCATGGACTTAACAAGGCCCTCGGAGAATCATGCACTAGCTTTGATGTAAGTGAAAATCAGAGATGGGGTGCATAAAGACCATTTTAAGAAGATAATCGCCATTAACACAGTGGAGGTGGAGCAATCAAAGACCCCACAGATGAAGGTGGACTTGGGTGGTGATGGGACAACCAACTACGAGAAGCCCAAGGGTGAAAAGGATGCCACCCCCCAAGATGAGTCTTCCTCAAAGGAGGACCTTCACAACAAGTTTGCCATTTCAGCTGGAGTTAAGGAGCAGCTTGACATAGTTAAGAGCAGCTTGTGCCCCAGATGTAAGACATTTTCTTGAATCACTCTAGAGGATAAGGAGCGAGGAAAAATGGACGGAAGGCCATGAAAGGGGGTGACACTACAAAGGCACCCACAGGGAGCAACTAGGTGAATGGTTGTTGCCAAAGTGAGATTACGAAGATCGACTAGGCAAATTCGTAAGGCCGAGTTATAAGGAACACGACAAGGACTTGTCACAACCACCATGATGTCAACCTAAGTTGAGGTATGAAGAATTTGCTACTAGGTTGACTCTTGGTCAACCCCTCTGGGTTGAGGGGTATCAGGGCCAACCCATTATGATAAAGCTAATATAGTCATTAGAAAATCATTGGTACATGCCCTAATATCCAAAGTTCCCACAATACCATCAGTCGTGCTTGCTGTCCAGAACTCAGAAGCATAGGAAGCAGCACATCCAAGTGAACCTATGGAAGTGGGAGGAATACCAAGAGATGGAATCTTGGGAGGCGAGACGTTCTGTCGACGACATCTCAAGATGAGGGAGATCAAGTCCCAATTTATTCTTTCTCTACCCCCGCAGTGCCTAGTGGCTCCAAAGAAAGCCACGGCTGAGGAGAAAGGGAAAAAGAAGGTGGAGCCTGAGTCCTCAGCTAAGGAGGATATTGAGGAGCAAATGGTGCGAAAAGTGGTTGAGCAGCTTAAAACCATGCTCAATATGCATCCAGGAATTTGCAAGGGTAAGATGAAAGAGGATTCTACGGATGAAGACGACAATGATGGAGGTGATGCCATCCAGTTCAGCACCCTAGGGCATTCAATGTTTGTAAATGCCCTTGGGCTGTTGCAAAGTAATTCAAAACTCCAGTCCAACAAGCAGAGTCCTTAGAGGGATATGTTGAAGACTCCAAGACACTAGGATCAAAATTCCTAGACGATGTTGCCATGACGGTAGTCCAAATGGAGTGTTCTCCTGAGATAGGTCTGATACTAGAGTAGAAGGAAGATGAGCATATCGCAGTTAGCAGCCGAAGAGAGGTGGCCATTTACCAAACCTACGCGTCCTATGACGCAACACTTGAAGCCGCTCTATATCCAGGTATACTTGGAAGGGAAGTCTTTCAACAAGGTCTTGGTAGACAATAGAGCGGTCGCCAACATTCTACCCATAGCTACCATGAAGAAGCTAGGGAGGAAGGAGGAAGACTTGGTCCACACCGAATTAATAGTGAACGGCTTCATGGGAGGAGCCAACAATACGGTGGGAGTTTTACTCGTCAAATTAGCCATCGGCAGCAAGGTCAACATCACTCATTTCTTTGTGATTGATCTGACTACATCCTACAATGCTCTCTAGGGTCAGAATTGGATCCATTTGAGTGAGTGCATGCTATTAACTCTCCATCAGCACTGGTGGTGTTGATGTGGACCCCAATCGACTTGCTTTGAGGCCCAACAACAATATTGAAAAAATAACCCAAGAAAGTCAAACTCAAGTTTGTAAAATCCGGTAAATTTAAACTTTTGTAAGTAAGGGCAAAACTGTAATTTTGTCGCTACAGTACGGGTTGAAAACTTGAATTTTTTTAGATCTCAGATGAAAAAATGGACCTAACCGTTGGATTCGTCTCGTGAAATCTAGTTACCACATCAAATTTCATCGAATTTGGAGATAGTCGAATTTTTTACGTTTTACGAGGCGGTTGAGTCTCAGGTGACCCAAAAATGGGATTTTCAATAAAATTTTGAAAGTTAGAAATAATTTAAGGCAAATTAAAATAAAATTAATTTAAACTTGAACTGGGGTGAAATTTAATCGTTTCAGAATGAAAACGGACCCCCAAAAAAAAGGGTTGTGTGGCGCATTGTGGGCCAAGCGTTGAGGAATATAAATAGGGGGAAAAATCAAATTTTTCTACCATTGCTATGCCCAGCCATTAGCCGATAGAGAAGAGAGGGAAAAGAGAGAACTCTTCCACCTTCTCTCTACGGTCTACAACTCCACGGTACTCGGATCTGCTCGAGCCAAGAACAAAAGTCATTCTTCTCGCCGAGGGCTACGCGACCACACCAAAAACGACGGGTTTCACCGAAGGTTAAAAAATGAGATTTTGGGGAAGTGAGAATTCAAGATTATTTTGGGTTCTTGGAGTTTTTCAACGTCGTTTTACGCTTCAAGAGGTAGGATTCTCTCCTACTCGGGTTTATTTTACAACTTAGGGTGTTCTATGTAATAGGTAGGTTGGTAGAGATTGATATCACATGTCTATGGATTGGAATTAATTGATTTGGTGAAATTGGGCAAAATGAATTTTACCTTGAAATGAGTTGTGAATTAGATTAAATGTGATCCATGGAATTGATTGTTAGGTGGGCATGTTATGTGTTCGTTTTATGCCTTGGGAGTTAAGTGTGTTGTTAGCATATTTTATGTTATAGCATGCTTGTGAATTGTTGTTGAGAATGATATATATTGATATATAGCATTGAGAGAAAGTTTGGTGATTATATGCTTCGGATATAAATTGCCATGAGACTTGTTTGAATGTAGTTAATTTTGCTCATGTGGCATTCATTTCATATGGGCATGATGTTGAATTAGCAATGATGCGTGGGTGCATAG